ATAAAAGGCAACACTGCTTACATTACAAGTGACAAGTGCATCCTATACCAATTTAAAATTGATCTATACAATTAATTTATTTTTTTTAAAATTAGTTTTATGACGGTTTGAGTTATTTTAATCTATAGCTAGTAGAGCTAGTTTATCGCTTTCTTTTTTAATCAAAATGAGTAGTCAGTCCAGGAAAATTTTATATTTATATATAAGAAGGATTTGCAAAAGCAGATTTTTTAATCTAAAGGTGATAATCAAGTTTAATTGATTGTTAGTTATGTATTCACTGCTAAGAAGTGGTGCGTATTCATTATAATTTTCTTGTCAGGTTTATTCAAGCTTGTGTGCTCGGTACGAAGATGTAGAAAGAGATATCAGCAGAGACATCTGAAGGGGTTAAAAAATAATAACAAAATTTATTATTGATGCCAAAGATTTAAAAATAATAATAAAATTTATTATTAATGCCAAAGATTTTCAAGCCAGTATTTTTAATACCCGGTACCCAATTGTTTGAATATTTTTTACGAAAGCTTCAATATTTATTTATAAAAATACATTTAAGCTTTAAACATTAATTATAAACATGTATGATTTACTGCGATTGGTTGATTTAAATTTGATTGTATTAATAAAAAATCTGTCAATATTTTGCACACTTTTAGTCTTATAATTTATATTTCATAAAAATAAAATCTAATAAATTTGACCTTTTGAGTGTTTTATCTCAGGTGGCAAGACAGTTTCTCAAACAACTTTCTTCTGTGTGCTTTATAAAATTTTGTCAATCAGATTACTATTTTTTTGTGTAAGATGGTTCACAATTTGCCTGTATCCCACTTTAAATAATGAATGCCCAGATCTGTTTACCCTCAAAATCTTAAAATCATTACAATATCACCACAAAATTGTTCAATATATTATCTTAATATAGTAAAAAAATAAACATACAGTATACATAATTTATAGCATACACCTCAAAATTGTACATTGTACGCCAAAATCGTAAGAGTAAACAGGTCTGAATACAGTATCCTATAATAAAACCCAACACTTTGTAACTAACAAGCAAATTATTGTTTTAAATGTGTTATTCCATTTTAACTAGTCCAAGCTTGAGAGGCTTTTGTGTAGAGTCCAAGTGTTCTATACATTGTAACTATTCACTCTGTTTTTGTGGAGAACACAGAAATGATAGTTCGCTTAAACTATGTATTATTTAACTAGCACTGCCACATCATCAACATAAAATGAATTATCTAGTCCAATTGAGACAACGAAGCACTTTATTGAAATTAAACTGTATTCACATAAATAGAGAATCTTTTAAATAAATAATATCCCATAGAGCTCAGGATATAAATGTATATATATTTTCACCCTATTTTGGATATGTCTGCTCTTGTCCGCACACATATTTCCCAATTTATTATATAGAAGAAACGCAACACGACCTATCAACATGGCAGCCTTTTTCTTTGTCCGTTATATCAGTATATTTTTGTGTCTCAATTGATTTTATCTAATATTAAATTAGCACGCACAACGTCATACTGATACATACATTATACAATATTGTGTGTCGGTCGAAATCATCTATGACCACCTTAATCATCATGTATGCAAATGGGGAACTTGAGTAAAATATGGGAAGGGATTCATGATCTATAATAATAATTTTAGATGGGACTCAATATATCAACCAATGATTAGTTGTATTGCGAAGAGTTTACCTCTTAGAAATAAAATGCATAAAAATTAGAGAATGTGTTCTTTTCTGTGCATTTGGTGTATTAGACTGGGGAAGCAGCAAAATTAGAGCGCATCAAGGTGTGTAATCGGGGTGGACAAAATCCACTTTTGAGAATGTGATTTTTTTATCAGGGTAATTTTTTTTTTTTACTTCTTCAAAAATCATATTTACATTCACTGTGTGAGCTTTTTGCCCAATGTTTACTATTCCACCTTGAAAAGATTGATGTACCGGTATTCCAATTTTATTGCTCAAGGAATTTTGTTTGCCAGTGTCCACCTTATTTTCAAGTTTACAAATAGCTCAATATAAAACAATTAGTATTAGTTAAGATGGATCAAAGTGCCTACATAGGAAAACTGTTTTGTGCTTTCTGAGCTAAACTCATATTTTTTTGTTTGCAAACAAGTTATACTTGTACAGATTTTATTTTTGTTTCTTGCTTTAACAATTTAATATTTTCATTTTATATAAGGAATTAGTTTTATATACTGTGATCAAACTTATATTAAAAAAAGCTATATAATGCAAAGTATATTTGGATTCTGTTTCAATTTAATTGACAACAAAAACCTGTCTATTGGTTTTAAAGTTCTTGATGTTTTCTATTGCCACAGAAGTTTGAATTGAGCATGTTAGAGGTACATGAAATAATAATTCAGGAGGCTGATCAGTGAGATAAATAGTTTATTGATATACTGTACTTAAATCTGCATACAACTTACAATTAGTTTTTCTTTTAATTTTTTTGGAAAAGTTTACAAAGTTACACATAAGCAAACCATTTTTTTTTTAAATATTGTTCTGTAAACTTTACATATTTTATTGTGGAATTTACTTCAATGCTTGAAAAAACCAAGTATAATTTATTACTTCAATTGGTTGTGATTTGTGAGCCTTTAAACCGGGAGGTCAATTTTGTCCTCTTTGTAAAAAAAATAATTCTGATTTAAAACATGTATCTGTTTTAATGGCTTTCATTGAACGTACTCCCATACCCTCTCAACAGGTTGTATAAATAGTATAAAACAGCACTCTGCACATATAAATTTCTTTTACAAACAACAAAAAATGGTCTTGAATGGTTCTTTGTTATAGAAATTCATTGCTTTTGGTTAATTTCTAAAAAGTGATGAACTTCAAATCTTTACTTTAATACATACAGACGACATGAGTAATAGAAATATATTAGGTACCGGGTACCGGGTAGCATACTACACATTATAATTACAGATAAGCAAGTAATGAAGAAAAAAATATTTTTTTTTGGAATCAGCAACTCCATGATTTGAATTTTAAGCTTTTTTGTTGTTTTTTTGTGTGCTACATTTTCTTTCATTATTTATTTTACTTTTCTTTACCAGCAGTTTATTTGTTTACAATTTTTATTGAAACAATGTTTTTAAATCGACATCCATTTCTGCAGTGTTGCTTCTGCCTGTGCCTTCAAATCCCTGTAAATAAAAAAAAATGAAAAGTATTATTATTATTATTTAGACTTTCTTCATGTGAGTCCACTGAAAGAAAATTTAATGAGGCCTTGAAGTTTGACCCCGGTAAATCCTCATGTTTTAAAATAATTTTTTTTGTGGATTTTTTTTTTTTTTTTTTTTTTTTTTTTTTTTTTTTTGGTGGACTAAGATGAAGTCAATTAAAGATGACTCCAATTGTTCATTTTTAATAGTTGATCTAAAATAAAAATTGTTTGTGTAATTGCAACTTTAAATGTGTACCTTAGCTCTTCTGGGTCCACACCTGTTTCAGAAGTGTTGGCCAGGGCACGACCAGTAGATTGGTACAATATCAGAAAGTCATCAGCCGCACCTGATTGAAGTATATTTACAACTTAAATAAAATGTCAATTTTATTGCATTGATACAGAGAATTTAATATAATATTTTTCAACTTTTTATTTAAACAGATTTATTTTGGTCGAAAGAAAATAATTTCAATTAACACTAATGCAATAATCTACATGTAAACATATACCTAATCTCCATATTATGTATCTTTTGATGCAATAAAATTATTTTATTAAACAGATCAGGTGTTGCCTTGTGGAATTATTTAACTGCTAAATAATCATGGTAAGTGCATCAAACTAAATTATGGTCCTGAAGTGGCACATGTTTGTCACGAAAGCTGTTGACCATCATTTCAACTTATTAAAATGTGTCCCAAATAATAACATAGTCCAAATTTACCTTGTGGCTTAAGACTGGTGTCAGATGAGAAATCTACATTTAATAATGATTGCAAAGTAATAATTACCGGTTCTTAAAGATGCCATGACAGATAAAATGCCACAAATCTGATAAATATCAGACACATTTCCTGAATCAATGTACTCAAGAAGAAGTTTGATAAACATCCTGGCAACACAAAAAATAATAATTTTTTTTAATGCGCTAATAATAAATGGAATCAACTTTTCACTGTCTATGCTTTAGGAATGTGTCTCTTTGCCTCAACCTTCAACCAATTTATTGTGCCCTATAGCTTCAATTGAATTAAAAATAAAGTAAAAGTAATGTTTTGTAAATTTAACTGAGATTTTAGTAAGGGCCAGAACATTATACTCCAGCTCGATCTAAAGCTGGGTTTTCTATCAGTTTCTACACTCTGCACCCCTACCAATGATGTTGACCATATCGCACCCCTTATGATTTTGTTTGGCTAAGTCTTGCACCAATACAAACGAAAGCAATTTAAATTGGAAAAAATAATGGACTTCTAATTTTGTTTATTAAACCTGAATAATATAGACCAGAGGTCGCAGCATGTGTGTGCCAGAATCTGCACGCTGAGCGATTTTCAATGGCACGTGGAAGACCAAAAATAGATTGATATATGACTATATATTAATATATGACTAAAGACAACATATTTCATAAGCTAGACTATTAGCTTTAACTTATAGATTTGTGGTACTATGAAAGAAGGACCAAATCATAATTGGTATATTATTACCAAAAGGTTGCACACCCCTGACATAGACCATGGTAAAACTTACAAAATGAGCTTGTTACTTTAAATATCACATAAACTAAATGTAAATGAAGACAGACAAATTTAACATGTATATCATGACTTAAAATCAATTTGCTCTTGCAATCACTCTCCGCCACCCCACCCCCTTTTCTGAAATGGCAATTCACAACCTCTGGGGTTTACGAGGTTGGGAAAACCTGATGTAAATCTTAACAACCAGAACTAAAAGGTTGTTAAGACCCCTTTATGAAAAATAAAATGCTTACTTTTTCATTGAAAGTTTCTTCTTATTTATCAGAGCCATCAAAGTTGTCGTCAGAGGAGGTAGTTCCCCTTCCTTGCTGAATCCATTCTTTTTGCAACTCCATGTTGTCTCACTGACAATACAATTCAGAACACTGGTCAGCATTTTCTCAGCCAAGGCCACAGGTTTCCGTGGACTGGTGAGTTCTGTTATAATGTTATGCAGGCCTGGGTTCACTTTTAAGATGAGCTGAGACACACTATTAGCTTCAGCATCATCCTTTTCAGATTTTCCCAAGGTCTCATCGCTCTGGACTCTCTTGATCAGCATTTCCATAAATTTACTTACGCAGTTGTAAACAAGTTCATCAAAATGACTTTTGGATGCAGCAGCTTCAGCCTGATCAGGCCTGCGCAGTTGTGTAAACTGGTACACACATGCTAAAGAACTGTTCAAGAGCAGGTGAGATGAAGGGCACGCCAAGATGTTGCTGCAAAGTTGAGCCATTTCATCTAACAAAGCCTCATCATACATGCCAGTTGAGAGCAGGTTTCGACAGAGTTTCACAGTAACTTCTACCAGTTGGACAGAGAGCTCAAATTTAACCGTGTTTTGTGAGGCGGTCTTCGATAAAACTGGCACAACACTACTAGTGATCCAGCCAATAGCAGTGTGGACTGCCCTCTTTGCTTCAGCATGAACAGCATTACCTTCAGGGTCCTCAGTGCAGACATGCTCCTCTCCTGCTTCACCTTGCACATTGCCGATTTGTGTACATATGAACGCAGAAAGCCTTAGGTACAAGGTGAAGAGTTTAACCCACAAGCTTGAATCGCACACTGATTTATCGGCACTTATGTTGCTGGTCAGGAAATCTCTAATGTGCTGCATCACTGGGCTGATAGCTTGCACTAAAGACATAAGACTAACCTTGTGCTTAGTAAGCAATATCCTCCTGTTCTCAGCCGGTTCAATGGACTTCACAACTATGTCTATGGCAAGATTCACATCAATGACATCCTCTGGCTCTGTGGTGAAGCCAACAGTTTTCTTCTTTCTGGATTGTTTTTTTGCACTGCCACCCAGGGGTTTGGGGTCCTGTCCCTGATTCCGGCTCAAGGCCTTCTCAAACGATTCCTTGACCATTTCAAGAAGAGAGTCCGCCTTTCCCCACAAGATGAGAGATTTTATGACAGTTGTGTCCATCACCTGGCCAGTTCGAGAGCCACGCTTTAAACTCTTCAGCAAATTCTGACTGACTAGGGGCAATGCCTTTGCAGGGAGATGACCCGCTAGGGCTACCAGGGCAGTGTCAAGGTTAGGGTCCTGTCACATATTGGAAACAGTATTTTTGGATTAATCATTACTGCTACAATGTGTTGGTGATCTCCCTTTATGGAGAAGGCTTTTAGCCAAAATTTACATTTGTTTTGTCTTAAATTCAAAGCTTAATCCTACTTACGGTATATAAATAATAGTTTTTTTTCATTTGGTATTCCGCTACTATATCACAATCAAATCTAACCCTATTTACCTAACATTAACTTAATAAATAAAGTTTATTTCAAAAACACTCTTCATCCCCAAAGCTCGGTACAAAGTAAAAAAAAAAAAAATCTACAATTTACCACATTTAAAACAAGCGCAACACTACAAAAACTAATTACAAGCATACCAAGTCAAAGTCTTTCTACCCATTTCAACCCTAAGCAACCCTAAACTTGTCCTTTGCTAGTCAATAAGATCCTAATGAGCAGGTTGAATTTAATATACAACATTGGGAAGAAAGTTGAAACCAATATTAATATCTACCACAGTATGAGAGCACACTGACCTGTGATACAGCCATCAATTCTCGCACCATGATGCTTAGCTTTTTGGACAATCCTTCTTTCATCTGCCTGTTTTCTGGCAGACTAAGCTGCTTCAGCACCGCTGTCATCATCAAATAGAGGGCCTCTACGATGCCACAGAAGTCATCAGTTGTGCTACCGTCATTCTCTTTCTGCTCCCCCTCGTTGTCATCTTCATCATGCTCCTCAGCTCTGGGAACAGAAGCATCCTTTGAAGTTCTCCTCTGTTTCCTTGTCCGGCGAGATGAAGCAGCCCCATTACCAGGTTGCTGTTCGACCGAGTCATTACCACTGCTGCTGTTATTCCTGCCGCCATTCTCCTCACTAGACTGAATGCTTTGGTTGTTGCCTGACTGAAGTTGTCGAGAGCCCTCCAGGACATATCGGCAGAGGACAACCATGTATTTTACAATTTCGTCAAGACTGAGAAATTCTGGGAGATGACAATAAAACTCCCTTGCTGCATTTATGTTGGATTTAATAAGAGTGACACTCCTCTCCACCTGAGTGGCCGGTGGCTTATCTAAGGGGACAAAAGAAGGGTGGATCAACTTCATAATCTTTTGACAGACGGAGCCCGAATCAATGGCAAGTCTTGATAAAATGTGCTCCACGGGGACAATATGCCAGAACTTAATTGCTCTCAGACCTTTGACAGTCAATAAGAGATCAATTGTGGCTATCCTGACTTTCTCTGAGTTGTCATGAATGAAATTCCTTAGCTGTGGGAGGATGGTTTTAAGTGAAGGGATGCACAGATGATTGGAGCACAACTGATTCATCACCTAGAAAGTATATTAAAGATAAGTTTAAATTAAAAGTACAACATTTTATTGAATAGACATTTTTAATCAACATGTCAGTGAATAGTAGTTAATTTGGCATCCACTCTGGAATTCAATCTTCACAAACAAGGCGCTCATAAATATATATATTTAATTATTTTCATTTGTTCACCTTGAATTTGATTAAGTATACATTACGTCACTGGTCCTAAGTGCGCAATAAAGTGATTTTTAATTCTGCAAGTATCTTTAGACAAACTTATTCTAAGTGTAAAAAAAAGTATATAAATTATGCAAATCAGTATGTCTCACTTGCATAAATGTTGAGATTTCAGTTTGATTCATAAAGATCATATTAGTTTATTCAATTCCCAACAATGATGTATATTTTTTTATGTTTTTAAAGTAAAGTAATTAGTTTATTTTCTTATAAATTTTTTTCCAAAGTAAGTGCAGAACTTGTGAAAAGGGCTCTGTCTTTTTGGCACTGACAGTCCAAAAAGGCCCTGTCTCAAGAGGGTTAATAATAAATAAATTGAAAGTGTTGCATGGTGCTTATTTAAAAACAAGTCATTTATCAATATTATCATGCTTCGTCCTTCCAAAAAAACATATTTTTTAACTTATTTTATTACTCTAAGCATGTGGGTGAGACAAAAATCACTGATTATCCATGATAAATGTGGGTACACAGATGCAACAAAAAAATCAATAGTTTAAAACAACTAATTTCTGGAGCTGTTTGTAAATGTTAAGATGTTTCTGAACTTTCTCATTTTACACCAGAAATCAATCCCAAATCATTGTAGAACTTTGGTCATTACAAAAACTATCCTTCTATAATGATCATTTTTTTCTTCCAAAGATTTATTTACCTTAATGGTAGTTTCTCTAATAGCAGGAGTAGAGCAGTCATAGGCTAGATCTTGCACCAAGGATGTCATCAAGCATTGTATGACCTGTTTAAAGATGAGGTACAGGAAAGATCATTATTGGCTGTGAAAATTATTTTTTTAAACACTATAGAAATATTTGAAGGCTATAAATTTAAAAAAAGTAAATCAATGTATTAAAAAAACTCTTGGCATTAAAGAAAGTGAAGGGAGAGAATCTGAATACTGAATAGTTAAAGCAAGAAATATGAGTTAATTTGTTTATATTCATTGAGAAAAATGTTGTAACACATATCAGTTTAGGCAAAAAAAATTCCTTTAGAAGTGAAAATGAAGAGCATTCAGTGCTTCAGATATAATAAAATGTTGTATATTTTGTTACTCTATAACTTAAAAACAAATTGTAAGGAGTGGGGGAGGTGAGGTCTTGTGTAGGATTTTAAGAATTTAAGTATCTTAATTAAAAAGACATGACATGAAGAAAGTAAGAAGAGAAGGAAAAAAGACCGGGGAGGGGGGGGGGGGGGGGGGGGGGTGGGGGGGGGTTGTTGTAAATTGTCAGCATAAATTTAACAAAATACTTCTTTGAATTCAATATAAAAAGTTTTCAAAATAAGTTTATTAAGTTATTCTCAAACTCTTGATTTATCTGGGTTTCACTAATACACCGGTAGTTAATTGGTAATCAGCTGGATTGTTTATCAGTGCAAAACACATTTTTCAACAAGACTAACAGACTACCTGAGCAGGTATGAGCTCCCAGTACAGGTTGAGCACTTTACCAACTCCTTTCACTGCTGTTAGCCTGACCTCAGCCACGGGATCAGACAAGAGGCTCTGTAACATTGATGTAAATATTAACTTAATTAATCAAAGCATAAAATATGTTAAATGTCCAAATATAGTCTGGATTAAAATGTTCGAAAATCCAAGTTTCAGATTCTGAATCAACATCAACTGACTCAGGTTAATATCTTGGAATTACATTTTTTTTTTATCTAGGTTAAAAAAATTACTTTGAAATAAAATGACATGGAGAACTGTACTGAAATACCTACATGCATCAAATCAAATTGTCGCTGTAAGTAGACATCTGCTTGTTCATTATGAAGTAATGGGTCTTGTAAGGGGAAAACATCAAACATTAAAGTAGCAGCATTTACACGAACATCACTATTGGTAACCTGATGTGTGAAGTCAATAATTTGCATTATGGCAAAAAATAAGAAACAAACAGAAAACACATTTGAGGGGAAAAATCAATTAATTATTTTCAAATAAAGCATAATTTAACCAGATGAAAAGCTGCTGAGACTGCCACCCCAGGCTCTGCCTCATAAGCCACTTGAGAAAGTGCAAATAAAACAGAATCTACACGATTGTCTCAAGAAAATAAAAGGATGCCAACAAAAACTTTAACATTATTATTAGTAGGTCTGTCCCTATGGAATTTAGACATCAGAGATTTATTTTAAATGAATTATCTTTAAATTTGATCATGAAAATGTTGTAATTTGTCACAAAAATAACAATTTGAATAAACCTACCAATAACGATCGCCACAGTATTGGTTCATACAATTTTGTTAACATTGCTTCCACACCTCTCTGAGTCTTTTCATTGTGGATGAAATTGAGAATCTGGTCAAATCATGGGGGGAAAATTAATTAATAAATGAACAAAATCAACACAAAAAAATAAATAATAAATGTTTATGGGCCGTTTAGATAATTTAAAATTATGAAAGCTGATAAAAAAAGACTTAACCCACGAACTGTGCCATGCATTATTCTGTGGTGTGGAGCTTTTCAGAGCGTTTTGAGTGCCATTTTAAATGACATAGAAATATTGCTACAAGACCCCAATAAGTATATTTTTAGAAAGGTAAATGGATGGGGATAAAGTTGGCCATATTGCCCAACCTGTAAAAAAATTTTTGCTCAAGTGTCCTTGAGCTGGGAGTTCTCAAGAAAAAAAAATCGACAAAATGTCTTGCTTTCAAGTGCTCATATCATCATTAATTTTTATAGATACATTTAAAACACAAACCTAAATGTTGTAGACAATTCATTTATCTTTCAGAAAATGTATAGTTTGCTAAGGTTTTGATTGCAATTAAACCTCTGAAAGCAATTTTAGTAATTTTAGGTCATTATATAAGAAAATGGGACCACAGCTAAAATAAAGTACAAAATACTAAATCTCAGGCAAAATAGTTATTATTGACTAGTAAACATTTAAAAAGGAACTGTATAATTGATTTGGATTGTTTAAATATAAAATTTATTAGTTCTGAACTATAATCTGTAGCTTCTGTGACTAAAATTCAGTCAGTCCTTGCCCAACCTCCGGGCCTGGCTTGAAGTCTAACAGTAGCGTCAGTAGATCTATTTCAGTATCACTAAGACTATTATAAAATGCACGAGAGGAATAATCTCAAATGATATAGTCATGGGGAATGTTAAAATCATCATCAGTATCACTTAAAACCTCTCCTTAAAAGCTTTCAAACATATTTCTATCAGTTTTTGCACTGAAGGCCCAGCCATAGCTTCAACCATTTTAGCTTTTAAAAAAACGGCGAAATAAAACTCTGATTAAAAAGTATTTATTTCTAAGTTATTAATAAAAGGAGGTGGCTATAATTCTGGTTAATTATTGCATTGGAAGTTGCTAACGGACTGTGTTTTTTATCAACCGATTTTTTCAGCCGACCACAGTTCGTGGGTCAATTAACATCACTTCAACTTTTAGACCAAGATGACTAAATTATTCAGTGACAAAAACCTACAATTTTTAACACTAGTACATTTAAAAACTCCATTGCAATCATAATGTGTGTTACTAGAAATGATCATAATATACCTTATACAGTGCATTAAAGACAGAGTTCTCATGTCCTCTCATGCAATGAACAGCTCTGTACATAAAATCTTGGATACAGTACAGTTCTATTTTCTGTTGTTGGGAAGGGGAACAAAACATTTTTATGTTTACAAAAATAGCAACTTGCTCTTATCTTGTACGTATAACATTTTTAAAGTGAACAAATCACCTGTACAAATGACTGTCCTACCCTTATCCCCAAATAAACAGTTCTTAACCCTATCCTGAACCTACAAGAATATATATTGTTTTATATTTGTAAAGTAATGTTTTTGTTTTTTGTTACCAGAATATGGTAGACAACTGATTTCTAAACCCCACTAATTTGGTTGATGTCTCCCTTCTTCAGTGGCTCAAAACTTTCTACTCTGGCGTTACTTCCTATTCCTGAAAGCTGCCACACTGGCAGGACAAATCCAAACATGATAACTTTTGGTAAGGAGGTACACAACAGAACCATTGTGCCACAGGGGTGACTCTTGTTTAGGAAACCACAATGAATCAGTCACATTTGAATGTCCCAGCTTACCTCCCTTTGCTCTCCTGAAGTCTTTTGCCATGCTCTGAAGTAAATTTCTCCATATTTGCTATGCCATTGTCTACAACAGAGAAAAATATGGGTATACATGAAGGGGAAAAAGATTAAAAAAATATAGAAATGGAACATCAAAGCTGATACTGATAAGATCTCAATCAAGACACAATTTAAAAGTTTTAATGAAACAATCATCGTCAAAATGTACTTTTACAGTCATTGCACAAATGACCATTTATCAAATTTTTTAAAGTCTATCATTTACAGAACTGGGACCATTTAGTGTGGTGAGAGCGGGTGAGCAATGTTTCCATATAAGGAGCTGGAGAGGCTTTTATTTATTTTTGTTTTAAAATAGTGTTGTTTTATGTGTACGTGTTGACAATGTAACGCATGTCTTATATCTTTGAGACCATCAATGTTATGGATGTCAGCCATCTTTCAGAAGTTTGTTGGCAGGGTTTCTTTATTTCTTCCCAAGATTAATTGCCTTGAGGAGTCCATTTATTTAGTATGTTGTTGGAATTGCAGTAAATTCAGACATCCTCAGGATGAAAGACCACATCATATTTTATAGTGGCAACAAGACTTACACTCCTACAACAGGATTTTTTGTGAAGAATGAAGCTGTCGGTGCAGTCATAGGTTTTAACCTAGAAATGAAAGAATGTGCTCTTTGCAAGTGCAGGGAAAAATGTTTAAAATAAATATCACTTATACATGTTCATGCTCCCGCCGAAGAGACAGAAGGTTAGATAAAAGAATCATTTTATGTTGATATCAAGCCAACCCTCAATAGTGTGAGAGCCAGGATGGAGAATTAATTACGGAGAATAGTTAGTACTGGAGAGGTGGGCTGAATATTTTGAGGGCATACTTAATGCAGAAAATGGACAAGATAAAGATTATCAAACACCACAGGGAAGACCAGAACCCTTTTTTAAGCTCCCCAACTCTAGAAGAAACTACAGAAGCAATCAATTCTATGAAAAACCTCAAAGCCCCTGGAGAAGACTTCATCACAACTTATTAAATATGAAGGAAGACAACTGCACACTCAAACACAACAAAATGTATCTAAAATTCCAGCAGAATAGGAAACAGCAATAAGAACCCCAATTCAAATGCTAGGAGACAACTAATGTGGATTCAGACAAAACAGATCAACGACTGATCAGATTTTTACCATCAGATGCCTATTAGACAAATGTTAGGAATCAGTACATCAACTGTATTCTATCAAGACTATAAAATTGCCTAATGCTTCTTCTGCAGGAGTTTGGCATACCCAACAAACTGACAAGACTGATACATATAAGATTTAACAATTCAAAAAGCAAAATCAAGGTTCGGGGTGAATATTCAAGGGAATTTCAGATGAGGCCTAAGACAAGGGGACTCACTGTCTTGTATGTAGTTTAACCTAACATTGAAGACGATGTAAAGAAACACATATATTGACACCAAAAGAACAATAACAGGATACTTTCTGAGGCAAATCCAAGACCCACAACCAATAGGCACTCTCTACAACGAACCCCTTCTGCATCTTGCATATGCTGATGACATATCACTGTTAAGGAAAAGTAGTAAAGACATTTCAAAAGCTTTTATTGAATTACAAGACACATTACTACAAACAGGTTTGCAAGTTAACAACCAAAAAACAAAATACATTACTGTGTTAAGAGTAGAACAGACAGATGAAACCATTAAAATTAGAAACCTGACTTTTGAAAAAGCACATCAATTCATATACCTAGGATCCTTAAAATGAAAAAAATGAATAACTAAAAGAACATTTTAAAAAGAGGAAAAAGTATCAACAGGAAATAGAGCAACGTTTCTCAACCTGTGGGTCGCGACCCCTTTGGGGGTCGCTAGACCCTTTTCCAGGGGTCGCCTAAGACCATCTGAAAACACACATTCTTACAGCTATGAATTAGCAAACTAAAATAATTGTTTGTCTGGGGGTCGCCATGACACGATAAACTATTTTAATGGGTCGCGGCACTAAGATGGTTGAGAACCACTGAAATAGAGCATACTTCAGTAGTCAGAAAATACTCAAAAGTAAAAAGATTACAAGAAAAACAAAGAAACTATTTATAAAACTGTAATCAGACAAGTTGTAACACATGCTATTCAACATTGGACCCTAACAAAAACAGAAGAAAAGCTATTAAACACATAGGAGAGAAATGTTTTCCATAAAATTTACTGGCCAAAAAGGATAAATATGGATGGAGAATACGAACCAGCCAAGAATTGCATGGGCTTTAACGGGATCCTACGTTAGTAGCAGAAACAAAAAAGGGCAGGCTACACTTCGCTGGACTTTGAAAGTATGACAAATGACAAAGGCAGACCTAGGCTTAGATGGATGGATGATGGGGAAAAATGTCTACAGCAGCTTGGAATCCAAGCATGGAAAAGAAAAGCATTAGTTAGGTCTGAGTGGAACGAAGTGGTGAGGCAGGCCAAAGCCGTACATGGACTGTAGTGCCACAGGGATGGATGGTCTGAGTGGAAGGAAGTGATGAGGCAGGCTAAAGCCTTACATGGAGTGTAGTGCCACAGGGATGGATGGTCTGAGTGGAAGGAAGTGGTGAGGCAGGCCAAAGCCGTTCATGGACGGTAGCGCCACAGGGATGGATGGTCTGAGTGGAAGGAAGTGGTGAGGCAGGCCAAAGCCGTTCATGCATTGTAGCGCCACAGGGATGGATGGTCTGAGTGGAAGGAAGTGGTGAGGCAGGCCAAAGCTGTACATGGACTGTAGCGCCACAGGGATGGATGGTCTGAGTGGAAGTGGTGAGGAAGGCCAAAGCCGTTCATGGACTGTAGTGCCACATGGATGGATGTATGGTTGTTACTGCCCTTCACATAAGACGTTTCTTTAAGCGCACGTAAGGCGGTGCAATGATTTGCCTAAAGCTGGCGGTGGTGATCCCAGGCACATGTGATCAGACAAGCTTCTGGTTTGAGTCAGAAAAGCTAACATTCTGATGCAAAACCACCAGGGTAAAGTTAGTTGTTAGTTAAACAATTCTTTGGAAAGCAAATGATTTTAGTACTTTAAATTATGCATTATCTGCAGCTAGGATTACCCTGGTGATTACAAATGATAACAATTAAAAGATAGAGAAAATTCTAAACTTAAAAGACACAAATCTATTTTTACTGATCAAGACACACTAGCGTAAATATGTGACATGGACTGATTGAGTGAGTCATCTCACCTAGGAGTGCTGGAAAGATGGTTCTTGATACTCTGATGTAATTTTTCTGTGAATTGTACATCAAGTGTGAACAGGTAAGAGAGAAATGTGATGCCCTGTAGGTAGAAAGAGGATCCATTGAGTTATTAATCATTTATACATATATTAGATGGGTCAGAAATAAGAATTTATTTACAAAACGTGAATCCTTATCTCCAAAGTTAATGCTAAATTTATTTTAACTTCTCAACTTGTGAATTAAAAAAACTTTTAACTTATGAAAATGTTAAATCCATAATTCCATGATGAGTGAAAAAACACTAAAACTGACCATTGGAGAATTCACAAACTGATGATGGTATGTGCACTGCAATAATAACGACACAACAACTGATGCATTGTCACTGTTGAGTTCTATGGCTGAAAGTACTTTCTGTACTGCTTTCACACGAGAAACATCTGCTTTCTGTAATTAGAAATACATGTAAGCTATTTTATCTGTGCCTGAATTAAGCTAAAGTATTTTGTTAAATAATAATAAACAAACAAATTTGTTTCAAGGTTACCCAGCCTAACATTTTAAGGGCATTAAAGCGAGCTCAGGAATATTACAATTTTGTCCCTTTTAAAAACCGTATTAAACAAAACTCCAGCTCTAGTTTTTAAGGTCTGCATTTTTTTCATTAAAAACCTTTTTTTTTTACATTTTGTAATTCCACATGAAATTATTGCTTGAGGAAAATAGAAAGTTTTTTTGTTTTTTTTTAAATTATATTTTAAACACACACCGTTGATTTCGCCTGTGTACTTTTGAAGAGGAGATAAACGATAGTATTCCCCATTAACTCTTCACAGCCAGGTAGTCTCCAAACCCACCATGTTTCAAAAAGGCGGCACATGTCATCTTTCAATGAATTCCTGTCATTGGTTAACGTCGGAAGAACTCCTTCAGGATTAAATAAAAGGTCTTCATTTTAAGAAATATGTAAATAGTAAAATTGAAATTCATGCCTTTTCCACATTAAAATTAAGTTAGAACAAAACAAAAAATGATCCTTAGTTCTAACTTAAATTGACTTGCATATTACACCATAAAATCGATAGACCGTGTCACTGCACAATTATGTTGTAAATAATACTAGAGGCGAATTGGTTCAAATAGTGACTGATATTTTAATATCCATATTCACAATAAGAAATAAATACATTTCACAAAAATCCAAATACACTTGGAAATTATATCACATGAATTTCATTTACAAACTTCTGGATAATATAATCTTCCTTACGCCTTACATGATATTTGTATCAACACAGTGTAAATCTTCATTACAACATTAACAGTCGTCTCTGTTCAGTCTTCTCAAAACAAACTCCATTCTTCAACTCCCCCACTTTTCTCTGGCCAGTTTCTCCCCAACAAGTCCCAACACTCATATATTACATAAGAAATATTTACCATATTACTTATCTCCCATTATTTTTCATAATCATATCTGTGATACCCCCCATTAAATGTTTATTATATATTTGTAAATCATGCAAAGATACTAGGGGATAAAGTTCAAAAACAGTTTTCTAATAGGTCTTTATGCAGGTTAAAAGGAAACTGAAAAATAAAACCACGAATCTCTTCACCATTTTCCCTTGCTAGATTACATCCAAAGTCACAGTCCTGTTTACACTGCAACTCCCAATATAGTACACTACAGTCTCAAAATAGTACTCTACCATCTCAAAAATGTATTGTAATAGTAAACAAACGTACAGCATCATGTATACAATAACTATTCACATCACATGTCTAAAAAAAGGTCATTTTTCAAAGTAGATGACTGACATATGCCCATCATTTGCCACTTTGGTAGACGAAGATGTGGTGGGGGAGCAGAAATTGAGGATGCCTGCCGAAGTTACTGGAACAAAAGTGAGGTGGGGCTTCTTATCCTGACTTATGGTCCTTTGACGCCACATGGGATGAATGCCGTGTCTCCTTTCACAGCTTTACCCTAGCTCCGCCCCTCCACGTTCTGACCTATCGCAGTGGACTTTCTCCTCCTCTTTTCGTTCACTCTTCCCTATTTAATCTCTCACTCACTTACTTTCTGTCACATTTCTTTTGCTGCCAACAGATACTACTTCCAAGCTAAGTGCTACTTCTTATTTTTATTTTTGTACCGTTTCTTCTGTTGTTTTGATCGCTGACGAAGGTTTTCTGCGGACATGTTCATTGTTTTGTTGCGTTTCTTTTTTCAGGTTTAACCCTACTCTGTTCTCTTATTTTATAAAGGTGTTTATAGAAAGGGCTAAAACTAAAAATTTCAAAACTCGAAAATTTAACAAAATTTTTAAGAGCTCTAAGAGCAAACAGGTATGATCATGTTCTGATGCACTCATGGAATTAATTATTTTAAATTTAAATTTATGAAATTTTCTTACCATGCATAATAATAGCTATCTCTTTTAAAGATTGTGGTACAACTAATTTGACTTGGGTGCTCTTATCATCTTTACCACTGTACGTTTGTTGTAAAGACTTTAAAGTGGAAACAGCAAGGTGAGTGATACAGTGTAAAATCTGGCACATCTTATCCAGCTGCTGTAAAAAAAAAATTGAAACAAATTAGAACATAAAATCAAGACATAAGAAACTACTAAAAATGTAAAATGTTCATGTGATTATTAAGATCAAAATTACCATTTTGAACTTTAGGATTAATAATATTACCATAAGTAAATTAATCAATAAAATGGGTAACCTTATTTCAATATTAAATTACATACTACCTTTTCACTTTCCATATCATTTTCTTCACTCAAGAGAACTGCCATGCAAATTGAAAGGACTCCATCCCAGAAGTCTTCTAACTGGTGTTTGCTAAACTCCAACAATGTATCTTTAAGTGTCCCATCATTGAATAGCTATGTTCAGGAAAGAAATATGTTAAACGAAAGTGGTGAAAGCCTAATGATAATGATTGGCTATTCCATATATTTGTAGCACAATTAATGATAAGAATAAGACTCAACTTTAAAAAACTGTAGAGTGGAGAGGGGGCATTTCAAAAATAAATCTCTGTTGAATTTACTCTCTAAAGAAAGAAGTATTGCAAACAAATAAATATTTATTTTATAATCATGTTTATTAATAATTTTTTTTCCTTCTTGCTTTGATTATATTGAAGTGTCAACATTAAATTGAGTGAATTAATAATAATCCCATAGAAAACTGAAAACTTGTAAATGTTTGACCTGATAACCCCCTCCCCCCCCCCCCAACCAACCCCTATGTGTTGAAGATTAAGGGATGCTAAAATGTCAGTCTGAGGATGACTTTTGTCATTTTGGGACAAAGCACTCAAGAGGATAGAATTTTTCTTGTGTAGGTCCTAACTGGAAACAGTTTTTTCATCAGCTCTTTAAGGGGTTAAAAGCATGACTTGTTCAATTACTTCAAGTCTATAATGGGTGGTAATGATGCCAGGACAAAATTTATTCTTACTGTACTTAAGACGTTGCCACTAAAAAATGTAATTTAATTATTTTCTCAAATTTGCTCATAATGTGAAAAGAAAAAAGCTTACAAAATTTTGATGTATTCTAATAATACATAAGGGTAGCTCAACACTGAAAAAGTTTTGCTATATGTGATGTTATCTCATATTATCGTATAATATAAATTTTTACATCACAATGCACAATATACTGTAAAAGAAATCCAAAAATACTAAAAAGGGAGACATGCCCTGTAGCTGTTAAGTTACTTTAGAAGTTAATTAGAAACATTTTTGCATAAAATCAGATTAACTCACACAGTAACCCTAAATGTCACTATGTCAATTATTCGTCTGATGGTGTAGATGTTGCTGAACGAACTGCAGTAAAGGCTGAATTGTTGGGTTTTTTAAAAGTCATTGCGGTGTTTCTCCAAGTCTATGACTTAAAGTTGAAGCATGTACCTGCACTGTGTCTGTTCCTTTTGATTTGTCAGGACTCCACTGAACACCCGAATCAAGCAACCCCCACCCGCCCCCTCTCGGCTGCATTGTTGACGACTTTCAAATTTCTCACCTTCCATTGGCAAAAAATTTAAGTTATTGTCACTGCTCCATACATCTGGACTGTGGGTGAGGAAAGTTTTTTTGTATATTCAATGCAGTGAAAAGTTGCCGGGTGTGTTGCGATATAAAGTCAGACAGCTGCTTCTCAGGTGGTGTATGGTGGAAGGCAATGCACTGAGGATGAATTGATGTTTTTGTGGCAAGTACTGTAACCATGACTACCTTCAGCTCAGCTGACAATGCAGAGTCAAAGAATGTGAAACTGACCAGGATTTCCCTTAAGTAACCATAGTGTCCAGAGAATTAATTTATTGCAGCTTTAGCAACAGCTTTGCATGTTTTCTTTTAGCTCTCCAACTCAAAGAGTAGACCCAGATCGTTCTGCTGAGTAGACAAGGCACATTCGCATGTAAACCAGACTTTCAGATAGACCTTCATTGCAAAAGTTTTGAAGAGGCCTAGAGATGACAGTTCACATGTACCTAGTCAGTTGGAATTGGGAAACAGGAAAATTTTGAGACTGACTTGGCCATCCATCGAGTTGGGTAGTAAGCTCTTTCAAAATTATGGCAGAGAACATTTTTCCATCCCAATGTACTGTTAATGAACAATTTGAACCAAATGATGCCTCAATCTCTTTAGCTAAAAGTATTATTTCCATGCGCTTGTGTCTGGCTCTTCTGATTGCTTTTTCTTAATTACTAGGGCTGACGGACTAATCAGTATGGCAACTGGTTTCAGTCTCACTTAAACTGTTGTTGCTGAACTCAATTGTTGCATGAGCTAAGTCTCCTTTGCCTTGCATGTTTCTTTCACCAGAGCTATTTTCGATACATTTCTTTTTTCCAAAGCTAACACCATGTCAACCTGATGACACATGCTACCATGCTTTCTATCCCTCTCTGCGCCTGTAGGAATTCTCAGTCTTCAGGTGGCTGTATCATGTGACCAGAGTTTCAGCGTGTGCATTGTCGGAAAGATCCTTCAAGCTTTCATCAAAAAGACATTCTTTTTCCTGATGTGTGTCAGTTCTTGATTCCAATCCATGACGAATGTAGGACCTTTATTTTTGTGATGAGGTGGCCCTCTTACAAATGGGCGACTGAATAACTTCCTTCATAGTTGCAGTGTCACTTGCCGAAACAGTCTGTGAATCAATGATGTGAAGATGAAAGAAAGGATGCAACACTTGTTGATTTGAAGGAAGTTTTCTTCATGTGATGGTTGCAAGACTTCCTCCAACCAGCCAAATATGGGGGTCATTATTGGGGAGATCACAAGTGAAATTTGCCAACTCTCATGATGATCCATATTATAATAAATAACAATATTATGATATTTATATAAACGTGTAGGTTATAAATGAAAGCAACACTCAATCTTAAATACTTTATGATTTTATCGCAATAAATGAATACAGGCTGAAATGCTGGTAAAAGTGCAGTTCAGGTGCGTATATTATTTCTGTTTGAATCTCTTATTTTCCCGTGTAAACTTATGTTAATTCTTTATAAAAAGTATTTTAAAAGTTATATACCATCTTTTTATTGGAATACAACAACAATTTAACAAATTTTACGAGATAAAAAAAGTACATTTTTATGAATCTTTCGTGTTTTACGGAGCCATTGTGGTAAATCAAGGATAACTCTTCTGTCTTTAAAGATACTTTATAAAAGTTGCCCAATTGGATGAATCTTGTTAAAATAAATGATGTATTTATTTTATAACTTTACTATCAACCATAACCGGAGTTGTCTGGGGCTGCATTCAGAAAAAAACATCTGCTACGTCCTTTTAGTTCACATTGTTAATAAAGGAAATGTCAACAACAAAACGACAACACTATAGTAAAAATAATAATAATTAATTTGTCTCCTATTAAAAACAAGTAAAATAACTTATGTAAACCTTTCGTTTTTCCCGTTTTCCGATGTCACCCGGAAGGATCATGATGGGATCCCGAACCCGATCCGCCGATGTGATTCCGATAGAATCCTGGTCATGGTGGGATCCCGATCCCGGTAAGATACCGATCCCGGTGAGATCCGTTTCCGGTGTTATCCCAAACTAAATGATATCTCAATCCGGTGGGATCCAGTTTCGGTGAGATTCCGATCCCGATAGGATTTTGATTCTAGTGAGATCCTGATCCCGTGGGATCCCGATCCTGGCGGGATACCGGTTACGGTGAGATCCCGTTTCGGGTGAGATCCCACTTCGGATGATATGCAGATCCCAGTAATTATGGGGAGCTCACATATTTGACATACGAACAGTGGCGTAGCGAGGGTGTTTGGCGCCCGAGGACAAGAATCGCGCCCGGGGACAAGATCCATTTTTAGCGCCCCTTTTTCTTTTTTTTCAACTCTCAAACCCATTATTTTCATCTATAAAATAATATCAAAGCACATTTTGGCGCCCCTAACTAGCTGGCGCCCGGGGAAATCTGTCCCCCCCTGCCCCCACCACGCTACGCCTCTGCATACGAACCCAGCTTACAAGCCACATTGCAATTGTTATGAGCGCCTTAAGAGAAATTCCAGTTGTATTAACGTTATTTGTTGCCCCACAAGGTGCGCGTATAAACCAAATGCTGCACCATTAAAAATGCCTGTTGCATCAACAATTTTAGTTATTGTTTCTTAGTCGTCCTGCCATTTTAAACAAAATGATCCTACAACCAGCAATACCGCAAAGCCAAAACGAGTCCGTCTTATAATATAAAAAAAATAATCACTAGCCCTCACTTTACTCAGCGCAAATCAGTCACCAGTAATAAGCGCATTTGCATACGAAAAAAGAGGAGGGGGTGCTCAAATTAGAGCTGACCAATCACGGACAGCGTATTAGCAGCCTTCAGGGTGATCAGCTTCACACCAGGTCCAGGACAATGATGACGTGTGTGTCCACTGCTTAGCCAGTGATCCACTTCTAATCTCCCCCCCCCCCACTCGACTTCAAAGGACAACCCCTATATTCCGAGCTCTCTGAGAGGGAAAAAAAGAAAGGAGGGGGGAGGGGGGCTTGTGCGTAATGAAAAATCTAGTATTTCATTCTTTTTTGTGAACATGCTTAGTTTGAAAATTTCGTTTAGCATACTAACTTATAGGTGGCTAAAAATCTGGCATAGAAAAATACAAACAAATGGGGGCTGTGTCACTTTGGTTGGGGGATGTTTAAAGACTCTTTAGAAGTAAAATAAAAATAAAAGATGGGATTAATAATTCAGAATTAGTTAACTATAACTGCCTGTATTAAATTATTAAAGAATACAAGTACGTTTACATGATAAAAAAATTTTAAAATACGAAATGCGCTAAGAAATAATATACGCACCTGAACTGCACTTTTACCGAAATGCTTAAATTTAAATACCAGTATCAGTGAATAATTGAAATTCTGCATGAATCTTGGTATGGTTATATAGTTACAATGCATAACAAAGGGAACAAAATGAAGTGTGGGAGCTTGTAAATACTGAATTTTTAATTTTATTTTTTTTTGCAATTACGATTAAAAGTGGCACCTTATCACTATTACTTATCTGACTTATCCCCTATAATCTCTCAACCAGCAGATTTTCTTGAAAAACCGTGGCATTCTCCTCACTGACACAACACCCACAAAATTTTCACAACCCCCGCCTAATTATGTTCAGACGGGACAAGAATTTACGAGATTCCTTGTTCCCACCCACCTCTGTGCTACCCCTCCAATTTAAGGATAATGTATGAGGGATTGTATTCAAGTTCAAGCTATGTAGTCAATAAATAGTGGTAC